ATGTTTTTAGAAGTCGTCTTTTGAACATTCATATATGTGAAAAGAACATATTTTTCCAGTATAAGCTTATCATCTTGATTGTGAAAACATAGAATATGGAAACATAATTTATCAAACTAAATATTCAAATAGGTGCATAATAAAAAGTCTCTTATAGAAACTGCTTTTATTTCTTTGTAGAGATGTGGCTATCTATCTCATAAGGAAGCTTTCTCTAGCTCCAGGGTACAAAATATTGTCCAGTTAAGAATACTAACTTAAGCTGTGTTTGACACAATCCAGTATAAACATATGTACATAAAGTAAAACCCTAGGAATTCTGCACAATTATTTTGAACAAAAGCTTCTAAACCTATATTACTAGCTTGATTTGTTAAATTAAAATACTGTGATTCCTAACACACATTTCTGAGCATGTGTAGCTATACTTTTTATTAAAGAATGCTAGCAGGAGCTTATGGAAATACATACTAATATAGGAATATTTTGTTTGCAAAGTCAAACAGCAAACATAGAGAATCAAAAATTTACAATTATCTGTATAACTTCATTTCTTTTCCCTGTTGGTATCTATTTTGCATTATTTCTGACATGAATCCTGTCTCAAAGGCTAATTGTCTTTATTGCACCAATAAAGACTGATCATTGTGTACACATACAGTGAATGTCTAGCCAGGGACACCACAGAAATGGATTCCAGCCTGGAACTTACATATTCAAAAGTTCAGTTTGTGTATATTGTTCTGTCACCCTCTCTGCAATGAAGATTCAGCTGCACCATTCACTGTTATCTCTACAATCCCCCATTCTGATAATTTACCTTTGAATATAAATTTTCTGTTACCTGCTTACGCAGACCTCAGCAGCTCTTTTCCTCTATTCCCGTAAATTGGTTTCCTTTTGACTGTGCTCTGTTTTTCCCTATGGCTAAAAGTTCACATTCTTTATGCCTTGCTCATTATAAACCCTCCTTACTCTGTTAGGAAAACTTTGAGGGCAATTGATGTTGGAGCAGTTTGTCAAAAGAGAGCATTCAGGTCTTGCCTCTATTGAGGAAACTGCACACAGCCCAGAGACATCCTTACAATTTTGTTCCAACTGCTACGCTCAGTTCTGCACAGGGTGTGGCAGGTCACTGCAGAAGACACTGCAAGGAGGAGACAGTGACTTCAGGCACAAAGCAGGCAGAGGTAACCCCAGGCCTTGGTGGCAGAGAGCTGTATGTTAGCATGGCAATGACTGTACAGCCTGAGCACATACTGGGGCACTGGTGTGGGCAGCATCCCCTGCCTGTGCTCGCTCCTGCGCAGATGTGTACGGGACACCTTTAGTGGAGTTTGGACTTATTCAATGTTTGGAGGAAAATAAAAAAAATATTTGCGAAACAATCAGTCCTCTCAAATTCTACTTCTGCTCCTGCTTCACCTAATGTAAAACATCAAATATGGTTCTATATTGTCTTATATATTTCTCTTACCACTAGCTAAAGCTGTTGACTTGTCATCAGCCTTGTCCAAGATATTTTTTTGACTTTATTCAACAAACTTCTTTTTGCTTATTTCAAATGCCAATCCTCTCGTGTCATATATAATTTGTCTCTCCTGAATCAGCCAAGTTATCAATATATCAAAAAAATCAGCCTATTTCAAGTCAAGTTTATAATTTTGCAATACTGATGGTGATGACAGAGCACTAGAGACAGCGGTCTGTAGAGAGACTCATCTGACTGCAGATGGTGCAGATATTTAACTCCTTGTGTGTATCTTTTGTGACCCACAAACATGTCTGCACATCTTAGTAATTCCATCAGGGTTCAAGATGCTTCATTGCTACCTAGAAGTCCTCTTCACAACACGCTTTCTTAAATCCATGAGAAAGTGTGTTTGTATTTGCATTGCATCACTTAGCAATATAACAGCATTACACAAAGCTGCCTCAGAATGCTGCAATTAGCTATGAGGAGAGCTGGAAATTACCAAAATGGAGAAATTTTATGAAAAAAAAAAACAAAAAAACCAAAGACAACCTCTGACTTCAAAAAAAGTTGAAGGCACTTCAAATACTCCTTAGTGATGGACTACACAAAGGCAAATAGCAACTGATCATTCTTTAGCTAGATGAGCTGTTTGTGGAAGAATTATGATGTGAAGAAATTCAGAAGTCAGCCAGAATCCTCAGGAGCAACCAACAAGCTGTTGCTGACAATGTTTACAGAGAATGATTTAAAACAGGAGATGATAAGATAAATCAAGACCTTTGTGAATTAGTTGCATTGGAGAGCTGAAAACATTTCCAAATGAGAAACAAAGCAGCCACAAATTAACTATCATAAATAAATGGATGGTGCCTTTACCACCTTTACAATCCATCCATCTTTGGTACATTTACAGAAGTTTTCTAATTTTGCAAAGTAAACACAAAAATAAAAAAGGCATTAGCAAAAAAAACCAAGTCTAGTTTGTAGCTAAGGTTTTCATTACATCAACCACTTCAGACTGTGTATCATATATCTATACTAGGAATGATAAAAATACACTGCACAGTGTTGCAATAGCTCTGCTAAACAGGTGTGCTACTAGAAAATGTCCAGAATAAATGGATTTTGACCTACCAGTATCTGTGTAGGACACACTGTTGAGGATGCTTCATTTAGGACATTTCAGAAATGGGGCTATGCACATCACATTGCTTAAGTAGCAATAAAGTAAATACAAATACCCCATGTTACTATGCTTAACATTATAATTCCTTTATTTTTCCTACGTAGTGAAGAAAAAAAAAATCTACTTTTACTGATGTCTAACTTGCACTATATAAATAATGTCTGCAAAACATAGACTGTCATCCAGGCAATTTTGTTTCATTGCCTAAAGCTAAAAATAAAAGCATTTATGTCACCCTTCAGGTTTTGAGCATACCGTTTAATATGAGACTCCTGCATGAAAACCCTTTTTTTTTCACTTATCTCAGTATTGAACTTTTGGCAGGATTTTTCAGGGTGAATATTATTAGAAATACATATTTTTAACATTTTAGAGTGGAAAAAATTTGCTTGCAATAATATTTAAATAATTTTAATACTGCTTTATTGGTCTCCCAGTCTGGCATATAAATTTGAAAACTATCATGTCACCTTGCTTTTAATCCTTTTTTCCCATTTTTCCAGTCTTTCTGTGTAATTAAGTTTTTTCTTAAATCTTAACTAATCTCCTTTTCAGTCTTTCAGACAAAGCTATCATTCAGACATGGGGAAAAAAATCAATGATGCTTTAGACTGAGCTCAGATGACATTGTAATCATTGGTGCCACTTGGCACCTATCTGTGAATTTTTTTTGTATGTCTGCTTTACCTTTTTGCCCATCCCTGCACAGAATCTCCCTCTGCACATCCTGCAATGATGACAAGGAGCTGCTTGAATCCCCCCACCCCCACCCATAACTCAAGTATTCAGTCACATTATTTTTTTCACCTGGTTTTCCAAGATCCCTCTTTCATGCATTTTTCAAATTATTAACTTAATCTTGAAATTCTGTCACGTCACTAATATTTATGATGTATATAAATAATGAATACTACTTCAAACATTAAATAACACGACTCTTCAGACTTATCAATGTAGCAGAAAATTATTATTTTATTCATAATGTTCTCTGCAGATTGCTGAGATGATTTCTAAATGTTAGCACACTTAGTCTTACCAGTTTTCTTAATTGCATTCAGTAAAGAACTTTGTCAAAACCCATGGGAAAGTCCAAATAAATTATATCAAGCATTTCTCCCTCATCCATTATTTTGATGACATGTGCATAGACTTCTAACAGATAAGAGAAGGTCTTCTCTCAGCAAAGATTCTCCGGATTCCTTTAGCAGAAATTAATCTAGAGCTTTGTTCTTAAATCCAATATTGATATATAATGATATATAATATATAATCATGTAATATATTCAATCCATTTAGCTAAAACTGAAGTCAGACTTACAGGCCAGCAGGATATTACTAGTTTGCTGGGGAAAAAAAGGCAGAAAAAGTAAAACAATATCCAAATTTTAATATTCAAATTTTCAATAGTCAATTAAGTACTAATAAAACTTGCATCAGCTCAACCCCTTCCGTTCCTTATAAGCTTTGTTTGTAGCCATCTGATTCTGCTTTCCTTTCAAATTTCTCTTACTATTTCCTTTATAGCCTCAACTTAATATAATAGCTTGGTTTTACTCCTTTAAAGTGCCAGATACTTAATTGCATTTTCTGTAGGAGACTACATACAAATAAATATCTTTCAACTTCTCTGTATGAGTTCTTTTGAAATCTGTTCTTTTAAAAACAGCAGGTCTCATGACATTTTCACAAGTTTTTCTGGTTCTGGTACAATTGCAAAAGTCTTTGCTATTTCTTATATATTCAGCTATAAGGTCTTCAGACTGCTTCTTAGAATATATGTTCTCCATCTTCCATTTTTCCTGTCATAATTTGTGTTCTATTTTAATAGCTACATTTGTCTGGAATCTATCTGGAAGAAGCTACATTTGAGGTGAAATAAACTCTTAACCCTCACAACTTTCTGCATTGCTTTTTAAGATTGTTCTTAATCATCTGAGATTGACATGACGTTTTAAATCCTATTCATGTGGCAATTCAAAGTATTTCTGTAATTAATTTCATGGCCACAAAAGGAAATTCAAATATCTACTTTACTACAAGGAATTACAGTGGGACACCCAAATATTATCACATATACCAAAAATTTCACAGCTCAATTATAAAGCATCAAAATAAATAGAAGAAACTTTATAAATCAATGTAAACATTATATTTCTACACCAACTATTTTGACTAGGAAGTCCTCACTCATGTACCGTTTTTGCAATTTTTAGTTAGACCAGATATACCCTTTTTTTTCAACCATATCTCTTTCTGCCACAGACAGTCATAGAAGATATGTTTTTCAACATTCTATAAAAGGTTTGTTTGCAGTAATTTATTTTACTATTTTCTTACCAGAATAAAATGATCCTAATGTTTCCTTTCTTCCAGAAAGCTCTGGCAGACTTTCCCCAGTCTGGGTAGGGTTTATCCTGAAGCATCATATCTGTGACCTATAGGGAAAGAAGAAATAGTAATTACAGTAACACTGGTGCTACACAAGGCAGTACAAGCAAGGACTTTAGGAACATTTTAATTTATGTGTGGCACAGCTGCACCAGTTCTGATAATGATAACAAACAGTGGACTAATAGTGTGTCCAATGCTATTTGCAATCAAGATAATGAATACTGGGCTACATATTCTGCCTCTAGAAGTGCATGCAACTCCTTGAGAGGCTGTAGAGATCCAAAGACAGGAAGATAAGCGGAACCAATCTAAAAGTTACAGCAACCTACAGGACATGAGTTACATTTCCCTGTGGCTGTGAAGCTTTCTGGCCCAGTCTGGGAGAGGAGAAGCACTTCCCTGAGAGCAGCACCAGCAGAATTTCTACTCTTGACATCAGAACTGTAGCTAGGGAGTGGAAGCATGTGAATTAAGCACTATATAACATTTATAATGTCCTCTCAGTTCCTGCTATCAGTATAAAAAGTACACTTGGGACTGACAACAGAAAAAACCCTTAAAACTTGCAAAATTTTTAAAAGTATGAAATATTTATTCTCATTTTCATAATTCCTGTCTAAAGAGACCATCTGTTTCTCTGTCCAGCGACTCATATGTATGCAGTACTTCTGGGTGATACATGAAAGTATTAAAAATTACTTTCAGCTCAGTGAGGGAGGTGAATACCCCTCAGGCACCTGCTTCTTTGGGAAGCTGTGTTTTCATATCCATTTACTTCAAATTAACTGTACTAAAAAGCACCAGAAGTTACATCACAATAAACTCATAAATTCTGTTATGCAAATGATCCAGAGTGGAAAAGCTATCCATTTGTAAAGAGTTAAGAAATAATTGATCAGATAAGGAAATGGGGCTGACCACCTGCTTCAAAATGCAGGTAAGTAAACCAAATTTTATTTCACTGTTATCAGTACAGAGTGGGAAATTACTATGTGTTTTGACCAAAATTAAAATAAATCTTAAGACTCCAGAAGGAAATAACTTCAAACTAAAGACAAAATTTCACAGATGCTTTAAAATCCAGTTTATCATCCAGAGTGTAAGCTACCACTTTCAATCAATGGCTTTAAGAGTGTTTATCAAAGAGAACATGTGGCCAATGAGTAAATTAAAAATGGATTCAACTTCTAAATTTTGGCTTCAAGTCCATTTGGGGTTAAAAGTGCCCAGTGTATTAGCCTGGGCTGGATCCAAAGGATAATGACTACATTAAAAAGCAGAAATGGACATTCTAGAATTTTATTATTCCATTAAAACTAACCTTAACAAAGAACAGATAATATTCTAAAATACCACCTTTAGTAACTGTTTAATGTGGGTAAATATTTTCTCTGATCAGCAAGCTATAATACTTTTCTATAAGATTCCCATTATCTAAATAAATATTTCAATAAATATTTAATGCTGAACAAGACTTCTGTAAAGATTTAATTCACTACTTTAGTAACAGGTTTTTTTTCCTCTTAGGAAGAATCTACATAGTAATGAATATTTGCAAAGAAGAACGGCTATTTCAAGAGGCTTTATTCAAGTTTCAAAATAGTTTCTCCAGATGCTTTCTGGAAAATTATTATATTTGGGAGAAGGATGCAATTTGCAGCTCTATGACCAATTACCAAAGGAGCATGTTTCATAAAAATTACATTTGAGATGGAGATATTTTCTGAGGAAAATGGCAAGATGAGGCAGGAAACATTCTTTCTGATATCAAATAGCTGGTCTTTCATCCCTCGGCTTTGGCATTTATTTAAAGTCATATCACCAGATCAATGTCAGGTCAGTTGCAGCTAAATTGGCTAAAGCAGAGACAGTCATTAAAGGGATGCATTCCATAACGAGAAATCCAATTACCTTTTGCATTAGAAAAATCAAATTCACTTTCTGATTTGGTCAAGGACAATCACTGTAGGAAACAGCTCACAGGAGAAAAGCACTCAACATTGTCATACAGCAGACAAGTTTTAAATATGTATCAAATACCCATTGTTTTTAGAAAAGAAAAAATATAAATTTTAATTGAATTTGCAGAACTTCATGTAAAGCAGTGTGGGTTTTTTTCTATTTGTATTTCACAATGTAATTCCTGGACAGCATACATTTATTTCTGTTTTACTGGACTATGTTTGAAAACATTGCTGATACATGGGAATACAAAAAAAAAAAATGGACACTTCAGTAAATGTCTGCCTGCACCTTATATAATGAAAACAAAACAGGGAAAGCCACTTACCATGTAATTAAGTAATGTATTTTTTTTTTCTTGAACTAGGAGATGCAATATACTTTAATCAATAATTACACTGCTTGAGTTCAAAAAGGAAGGGTCCCAACATACGGATAGTGTATACATTTTCATTTCATTTAGTGTCTCATGAGAGAAACAGTTACACTGTATTAAATTGCAAAAGCAAAGCTGTATCACACACACTGCCTGACTTCATAAATTACACAAATGCACAAAAACCTCCATTTCCATTAATAATTACTATGCTTTATATATATTATGGCATCCTAATTTTCATTTTGCCCTGTAAAATATGGCTTTATCAACTATTCATATTACTTACTTTATATTAATTATGAGTCTAACTCATAATGGTTTTAAAAAGATATATTGCTGTCATTAATAGCAAAATATTATGATTCCCATTTTTCTGTTACAGAAAAATAAATTTGTTCCTTTTGATATGGTCCTTTTGATGTTTGATGCAATCATCAAACCACAGAAAGGCTTGGGTTGGAATGGACCTTACATATCCTCTATTTCCAACCCCACCCTGCCATGGGCAGGGACACCTTACACTGGACCAGGTTGTTCAGAGCCCCAGCCAACCTGGCCTATGATCGATACTACTGTACAATATATAATACAATAATTTGTAAAATTATATTGTATCACACAGAAAAAAGCATCTGGGATTCAAAGTCATTCAGAGCAAATAACTTAGACAAAAGTGCAGAAAGCAAAATCATAAAAAAACTCAAAAAAAATCCCTGACAAAAGAGTAAGGTGCCTAAGATATCTGAGATGTACCAAGTGGAGCACTAAGACATCCTAAGGATCATTTATTCCTTCCATGCAGTAACTCTTTGAGCCTATTCTTCAGGATACTCTGCACATACTTTACATCTCTCTGCAGACACTCATGTCAAGTGATGCTGCATTGTACCTCGCAAGGTCCTTCCCAGCACAACCAACCTCTGCACTGCCAGTGTCAGCTAAGGCAAGGTACCTCTTCTAAGTTAACAGCAAGTGAAACTTCCCTAAAAAGAAAAAAGAAAAAAGAAAAAAGAAAAAAAAAAAGAGAGAGAGAGAGAGAGAGAAAATGGCCTCACACTTTGTTCATGCCTACAAAGTACCATCCAAATACTCCACTACTAGGAACTATGCTATCATCCTCAGAGCGCAGAGAGACAACCCACAGAAAACTGATGCAGCACAGGCTGCTGGCCAAGCTGTTTTCATTTGAAAAATTGTATTCGAGAAATGTAAAAATATAAAACTATATCAGTTGGTTTGATAGTAACACTTCTTCATATGAGCAGCTGCAGAAACTGTTTTGTACTAGAGAAATGGACTCTGGGCTTTAGGACACAACATATTCTATGCTGCAATATTCATGAAATGGAGACGAGACCTTAACAGAGAATTTTCATTGCTTTATTCATACTTCGATAAATCATCAAAACAGGGTAAGAGCAGCCCTCCAGAATTCAACAGTAGGTAGAAGAATCTAAGACCCACAAGAAAAGCCTGAAAACACAAACCAAATGGCGAAATATTAAATATTTTTGTGTTCTTTTGATAATGCAACGAGTAGCAAAAAGTCTAATGGACAATAGGATTCCAACATAAAATATCAATAAAGAACCTGTTTGTGTGCAATTACTCAGCCAGAAGAGCATGACATCATCCCTGAACAACTGCATTTGCCAAAATATACCTATCTACCACTGTCAAATCAATGATTCAAGCATTAAAAGTTTTTTAATTTTTTCAATTTTTATAATCTTACAATTTTAAATATCTTCTTTGAAATCATAAACCTCTTTGTAAGTAGCACTATATTAATTACACTTGACACTCAGCCTTTAAATAGTACATAACTTGCACATCTCCACTCACCCCAAACTCAAAACAAGAAACATTCTTTTCAGTCCTACTGGGGCATTTCATTGATAAGAGCAAATGTCATAAATTCTAAAATCTTTTAGAAATTGCAAGGATTCCATAGTGACGGGACAGGCCAGAGTGCAGTTTCCCATGGCAAGATTATGAACATTGCATTCTTCATCAAAAGAATCCACCAATAGTTTTGCAAAGACTGAACATTGCCAGTGTGTTTCTGAAAAGTATGTGAGTTTTTTCTTCTAGAAAAAACAGGGGCTAAATCAGGTTAAAGTAATTATGTTTTCTGAAGTCAGAGTGGGAAGTCAATGAGAGCTAATGCACACCGCTGAGGGGATACACTTCCCTTGCTTAGCTGTTATGTGCTTTTAGGTAAGAGCTATATATAGGTGTCCCACTAACTGCACATCAATTCTTTATCATATCTCAGTCTTTTAGTACTGTACTACACCACAGTGATCATATACCAAACATTTAGTACTCAGTCATTAAAAGTTTCTATCCATCACTTTTCTCTTCTTTGAGATATGTAAAAACTGTGGAGCTGTTCACTTGATGTATAAAAGTAACCTATAGGGAAAATGTTTTTATGCTTTTTTCATCTGGATTTCTGGGACAAAATTGACTTCTGTGGATGGTGACCAATCTGATACTCCTCTATGATGGTATGACAGGATGGGTCAATGAGGGGACAATAGCTGATGTTGTCTGTCTCAACTCCAGCAAGGCTTTTCACTCTCTTTCCCATAATAACATCATGGATAAGCTCAGAAACTGTGAGTCAGATGAATACACAGTGAGGTGGATCAAGAATTGGCTGAATGGCAGAACTCAGAGGGTTGTGGTCAGCCAAGT